AGCATCACCTTTGTGATTCTGGCCAGTCCAGGCTGACAGAGATGAGCACTTGCATATAGGTCAAACTAGTTAAATATAGAACTGTGGTTTTCGAAGCCTGTTGCCAGGAGCTCAGTAGCATCCGCTCTGTTTCTATGGGGGAACACTTTTCAAATGGTAAGAACAGAGCTAGAAGCCAGCTAATTGAAGAGGATTGCATTGTGGAAATTTAAAGGGTTTATTGATGATTTGACTATATTAATCTGTGAACATCAATTTTGACATCTTCTTCACCGACTCCTAATTTATTGCAATAAGAATTTGGCTTTATTTAAGTAACACACCTGTAAAAATTGATGTTATTATACTGACTAGGTTGGGCGAAGGGACCTGATGACAGGTCATAAGATTAGTAAGGTTCTGAAAAGGTCAGAATTGTACTGAATTATGTTTAGGACAGATTGCTCCTGTGATCATTTAATCAAACACAGTGTTCTTATTGTCTCCAGTTTCCCTTCCACAGAGATGATTTTTGAGGTTGGTCTGAGAAGGAAGTCATGATTTCAGTGGCAACACAAGGCACATTGACAGCAAAATTCATACATTATAGCAGCTTTTTGTTTCATGCTCTATTGGCAGACAACCTTGAATAAAAATGTCTTATAAAAATAATGTAGAATCCCACAGTTTTTTAGTCACAAACAGGAGTGTCCTTGTTTTGTACCAAAGATGGCAAGAATTAATACCCTACTATGTAGAAGTGTTTGGCAAAGCCTAGGTTGTAGTTCCAGTTCCTCATTCTCAGTCTTTTCCACAGATGGAAAGATGAATAGTTTGGTGTTGAATTTTTTTAAAAAGCAAGCTATCATTTATCTTTAGACATCTGTCCAATAGATATGATATTGAGAAATTAATTTTCAGATTTGAATTTAGTTTTTAAAACATTTGTGGAAGGAGAACAATTTGTAAGTAATGCTCAGGAAAAAAAATAAAACCTAGCTAAATTTTGGAAATCTTGATGAGCACATGACTATCAATCAATCATCTTGTATAGTATTGCATTAAAGAATGAATAATACTCCAAATATGAATAGTAGAATGTATTATTAGATATTTTATGTGTTTCTATTTGTTATAAAGTATTATTGACTTTCTTTTGATGTACAGTGTTATGAATTTTAACGTGTGTAGTTTTCTGTAACCACCACTAAAATCTAGATACAGAACATTTACATCACCCCCAAAAATTCCCTCATGCTGTCCCTTTATGGTCACTCTTCCTTTGCTAACAGCTCCTGGTAACTACTTATCTGTTTCTCATCCCTGTTGTCTTTTTTGAGAATGTCATATAAATGTGATCATAGTATGTAACTTTTTGAGACATGCTTCTTTTACTTGTCATATTTCCTTGGAGACTCATCTAAGTTGTTGCATGTATCAAACATCCCTTTTTATTGTTGAGTAGTATTCCATTGTGTGGATGTACTACAGTTTGTTTATCCATTCATCCACTAAAGGGCATTTGGTTTGTTTCCATTTGGAGGCTTTTACAAGCAGAGTTTCTATAAGCCAAAGAGTAGATCTGCTGGATCTGTGGTTTTTTCTGGTTTTGATTTTTAAAAACTTGATATATTTAGGTTTGTTTTAGACCCAGTGTAATTTCCTTTAGGTCATTTTTGGAACTGTTTTTCTTCATACTTCTGATATAACATTTTATCTGTTATTTCTGTCATGTTTTCTTGGTCCCCCTTTTCTTTAGGTTTCCGTTTAGTAGGCATCTAACTTTTTGTCTTCAGGAAGTTCACTGAAACTGCATACATAATACTGAAAACTTAGAAATTATTAAAGATATGTAGTAAGGAATTAATGTGGAACAAGGGAGTTAAACTGTGAAACGAGTCATACAATGAAAAATGTAGCCATTAAAAAACCTATTGTATAATTGTACTTATAGGCATGGAAATGAGTATAAGATAATGTCTGGACTGGAAAAAAAAAAAAACAGGATACAAATCATTTATATAGCATCAAATTAATAATGTTAGTTATTTCTAGCTAGGTGAAAATTGGGTGATTGTGATTTCTTTACATTCTTTGCTATTTTTCCAAATTTTTATAATATCATGTATTTTGCAATTAGAAACAGAAATAACCATTTAAAATTATTTTCAGCCCTGGCCAGTTTAGCTCAGTGTGCAGACCAGGGAGTCCTGGGTTTGATTCCGGCCAAGGTCATGTACCTCAGTTGTGATTCATCCCCGGCGGGGTCATGCAGGTGGCAACCAATCGATGTGTCTCTCTCACATCGATGTTTCTTTCTCTCCCTCTCTTTCCCTCTCTCTCTCCCTCCCTCCGTCCCTTCCACTTTGTCTGAAGATAAATGTAAAAATATCCTTGGGTGAAGATTAAAAAAATTAAAGTTATTTTCAAAGAATTGTTAATGTTCAAGAGAATACAGATGCAGAGAGTTCCCAATTTTGTAATTAAAATAAATTTAAAATATAGAAATAAATTTGCAGAATGTTAACAGTGGATATCTTTAGGTGATATAATATAGTTTGTTTGTTTATTTAATCCTCACCTGAGGACATTTTTCCATTAATTTTTAGAGTGGAATTTAGGGACAGGGGTGGGTGGAGAGAGAAACATCAATGTGAGAGAGATACATCTATTGGTTGCCTCCTGAATGACCCCAATTGGGGCCAAGGATTAAACCTGTAACCCAGGTAGTTGTCTTTGACCTGGAATCAAACCCGCAACCCTTTGGTCTATGGGCTGATGCTATAACTGCTAAGCCAAATCAGTCAGAGCAATATAGTTTATTTTTAACTTACTTCTACAACTATTGTTAAAAAATTATATTCTTTTTGTTTGTTTATTTGTTTTTTTTTGTTTTTTTATCCTCACCCGAGGACATTTTTCCATTTTTTGTTCAGGTAGAGTGGGAGGGAGAGAGAGGAACAGAGAGAGAGAGAAACATCGATATGAAAGGAACACATCGAGTGGCTGCCACCCGCACAACCAAAAATTATATTCTTGCCAGAAGTTTAATGAATACCAATCATATCTATCCTTAATCTCATTATGCCCATCTTAATATTATCCATATGTTGTCATATTTAGGTTTTATTCATTCTCACCTGCTTTGTTTTGTTAATCCCTAATGTTTTTGTTTTTTTAAAAAAGGAAAATTTCTAGAGCACACTTCTCCCTTTGGTTACTAATAAGAGCCTTAACTACTTAAATATAAATTGTTATAAGGTCCATTTAACTTACCTAATCAATTATTAGCATTTAAAAGTATTTGCATTGCCCAGCTGGTGTGGCTCAGTGGTTGAGCATCGACTCATGCACCAAGAGGTCACCAGTTCAATTCCTGGTCAGAACACATGCCCAGGTGGTGGGCCAAATCCCCAGTGGGGGGCATGCAGGAGGTGGCCAATTGATGTTCTCTCTCATTGATGTTTCTAGCTCTCTCTCCCTCTCCCTTCCTCTCTCTCTAAAATCAATAAAGAAAATAAATACATAAGTAAAAATAAAATAAAAATATTACATCTATTAAAGTTTTAAAATATATAAAATAATTTATTTTAACATGACTCTTAAGTTTAATAAACTAAAACAGAAATCACTGTGCAGAAGAAACAGCATCCCCTGACTGTGTTCTTTTTTTTTTTATCCTCACCCGAGGACAATTTTTCCATATTTTGTTCAGATTGAGTGGGAGGGAGAGAGAGGAAGAGAGAAACATCGGCTTGAAAGGGACACATCAAGTGGCTGCCACCCACACGACCAACCAGGACCGGGGACAAACTGCAACCGAGGTATGCGCCCTTACTGGGAACTGAATCCAGGTCTCTTGGGACCATAGTCTGATGCTCTAACTGCTGAGCCAAACCGGTCAGGGCTGACTGTGTTCTTTTTACAAATTGTGTGTGCCTCAGTTCTCACTTTACTGTTAGAAGAAAATAATCCGTTTTCATGTGATATAACTGAATATGAATCATGTTCAAGTCCTTCCCCTATTTCCCCAATTCCCAGTAGACCTCTGGGTGGAGTTACCATTTAGCTATATAATGTGACAAACAAAATAACATTAAACCCATTGTTTCTGGGACAATCCCTTCACCAAAAGTCAGGGAAAATGGGAGGGAGTTGCCATTCATTGACTTAAGAAATACATCTGATAAGTATAAGAATTCTTTCAGAATATATGTACCCCCATGTTTGTAGCAGCACTATTTACAATAGCTAAGATCTGGAAACAGCCCAAGTGTCCATCAGTAGACGAATGGATAAAAAAGCTGTGGTACATATACACAATGGAGTACTACGCAGCTGTAAGAAAGAAAGATCTCTTATCCTTTGAGACTACATGGAGGGACCTGGAAAGTATCATCCTAAGTGAAACAAGCCAAACAGAGAAAGACAAGTTTCATATGATCTCACTTGTTTGTGGAATATAATGAACATAACAGTCTGAGGAATGGGGTAGTCCCAGAGACGCGGAAGTGGAGTACAGACTGACAATCCCCTAAAGAGGGGGGTGGTGGGGGAGAGATAAACCACAGAACTTATATGCATGTATGCATGAACAGTGGACATGGACAACAAACTGGGGAAAGGGCAGGGAGGGAGACGGAGGGGGGAAAAGGAGAAACATCTGTAACAAAAATTAATTTAAAAAAAAAAAGAATTCTTTCAAATAGTGAGGTAAGAAATGAGTGTAAATGAACAGTTAGATGGTGGGCTGTTCACTTTCATCAGTATATGCTATGTATCTTTGTTTTGTGGCTATTAAATAAGAGGTTCTGGAATGTCTTTGCAGTTTGCAGGATTCTGAGAATGCAGTTCTAACACCTTTGAGAGGGCAGCAACCATGATTAGACTTGCTATATTTATTAGTAAACATGGAGTGAAGTTCATCTATGGAAAGCTTTGCTTTGCTTTTTGATTAGTTTAATAATATACTCAAATTATTTAAATTATCTGACCTTTAATATAATTTCTCCCCTTACTAGCTTGGTGCTAACAGTGGTTTGCACATCATCATCTTTGATGAAATTGATGCCATCTGCAAGCAGAGAGGAAGCATGGCTGGTAGCACGGGAGTTCATGATACTGTCGTCAACCAGTTGCTGTCCAAAATTGATGGGGTAGAGCAGCTGAACAACATTTTAGTCATTGGTATGTTTACTTTTTTTAAAAAAAGGTGCTGTAATTTCAAAAATATTAGACACGTAGGTTTGGAATTAAGATCTGTGTAGGTTGTAATTACACTACTTTGCCAATGTTTCCAAATTAGAAGCAAGTGATATTGAGGAATTTGACTATTTTAATGTCTAGCTTTAACAGAACAAATGAAAAATGGATATTAGTAACTCATGGGTTTAAGCATATAGCTCACCCACATATTTAAAAGGTAGCCCAACCCTGGCCAGTTTGGCTCAGCGGTTAGAGCGTCCGCCTGTGGTCCGGAGAGACCCGGGTTCCGTTCCCGCTAAGGGCGCGTGCTTCGGTTGCAGTTTGTCCCTGGCCCTGGTTGGTCGTGCAGGTGGCAGCCACTCGATGTGTCCCTTCACGTCGATGTTTCTCTCTCTCTCTCCCTTCCTCTCTCTCCCTCCCACTCTATCTGTACAAAAAATGGAAAAATATCCTCGGGTGAGGATTAAAAAAAAGGTAGCCCAATGTAATGCAGTGGTTTTCAGACTGGGTCTTGTAGGCCTCCATGTGTTGTCAGAGGGACTTCAGGATCTGTGAGGTCTGGGAGTGAGCTTCAGATCATGCATCCCTATAACTTAATCTTTTAACTGTTTCATGTACTGAGGTTCTTAAGATTGCTTTTAGGGAGGGAGGGAAGTCTGCTGTTTATAAAGATTGAAAACCATTGGCCTACAAAAAAGGGAAAGGACTTTGGGGTCAAACAGATCATGTTCACATGGCCCCTCTCTCACATTGACAGGCTATTTACCTTCTCTGAACCTTAATTTTCGTTTTTAAATATTTGAAGCTTTTATTGTATTTATATGCCACTGGCTTGTTCAGTAATGAAATATTAAAGCAAAGTCTCCAGGTATTTTCTTTAGAACAGATCAAGAACAAATGATATTTTTATTTGATAATAATTTGGTTTTTTATTTGATTTTTATAAATTGTCCTCTTAGCTTCTAAGGTAAATTACTATTCTTACATATACTGAAGGGACATTTGATCATATTTTTGAGCTGTAATCATTTGTATGTTGCTTTAACATCTGTGCTCAGGAATGACCAACAGACCAGATCTGATAGATGAGGCTCTCCTTCGACCTGGAAGACTGGAAGTTAAAATGGAAATAGGTAAGTAGACCTATCACTGGCGTAGGGGTGGGGATGGTATTTAGAGTTCATTAGCAGGAGCAAAGTCATATAACTCAGTGGTTTAATATTTGTTAGAAAAGTTATATCATGAAAAGCAGATGTTTACATGCTTGAGTACCTATAAGAAAAACATTAGGAATAAAATAATCTCTACCTTGTTTTCAATTTTATCAGGCTTACCAGATGAAAAAGGTCGACTACAGATCCTTCACATCCACACAGCAAGGATGAGAGGGCATCAGTTACTCTCTGCTGATGTAGACATTAAAGAACTGGCTGTAGAAACCAAGAACTTCAGTGGTGCTGAACTGGAAGGTCTGGTGCGAGCAGCACAATCCACTGCTATGAACAGACACATAAAGGTCAGTCAAGTCAACTAACAGGTTAGGAGTCTGCAGCCCTGTATATGCTGTGCGGGTGTTTTTTCTCTTTTCTTTCAAGCATACCAAGGCCTAGGGTGATCCTGACTTTTTTTTTTTTTTTTTTTTTTATCCTCACCCGAGGACATTTTTCCATTTTGTTCAGGTAGAGTGGGAGGGAGAGAGGGGAACAGAGAGAGAGAGAAACATCGATGTGAAAGGAACACATCGAGTGGCTGCCACCCACACGACCAACCATGGCCGGGGACAAACTGCAACCGAAGTACATGCCCCTAGCGGGAACCGAACCCGGGTCTCTCCAGACCACAGGCCGACGCTCTAACCGCTGAGCCAAACTGGCCAGGGCTGATCCTGACTTTTGATAGAGAAGATTCATGGTGAAAGGAATAGGAATTAACTATCAACTGCTAAATCTTCAGAGTAGCAGGAAAAATAATGGTAGCATCTGCCACATGGTAACCACTGACCCATGTACTTTAGGTTGCCACCATCTGATATATGTGAAGATGAAGATGTTGAAGAATTTTTTAAATTTTTGTGTTGTGTTGAGTTGTCACGTCATAGAAAGTTGGATTTTTTTTTTTTTTATATTCTAGAATTATAGAGGCTGCTTCTTTCAGCATATATACTGCCTAAATGCTATTTTTGAGGTATTACATTGGAGACACAAAGATAATAAAGCATGACCTCTCCACCCAAGGAATTCAGAGTGAGGGAAATGGACATGTTTGCAAATTAGTACAATAATGTTTGATGCTCTGGTAGAAATACATATGATACTTTTATTTTGATGAATAAAGTGTGAACAAGTATCATCCCTTCAAGTTTTAGCTATCACTTGTAGATAGATGACTCCCAGATTTGTGTCTTATCTCTTATATGTCTCATACTTTCAGTTTATACTGAATAACTCTACCTGGGTGTTTTATCAGATCTCATTTAATGTTCCAGAACCAAATTTGCTGTTTTTTTGTTTGTTGTTTACTGCTTTCCTTTTTGCTCCTATTTTGCTGATATCTCAATTCCCCAGGCTTAAAACTTCAGGGTTATCTTTCATTCCTGTCACTCCACTGTATCCTACATCAAGTCATTTGCCCAGTTTTGTCAGCTCTTCTTGGCAGTATCTTTTAGTTCTCACTGTCACTGTCCACCTTCTATTTGATTACTCTTCCTATTTCATATGTTCTACCCTTCAGAAACTTTCAGGGAGTCGTCTTTGTCTACAGAACAAAGTACAGACTTCTTAGCCTTGTCTTTAAGGTCCTCTAGACCTTACCCTAGGCTAGCCTTTCCAGATGTGTTCCCAGTTATTCTCCATACACTTTAGTCAAACTGAAATCCTCACTAATCATTGGACTTTAATTTATTTTTACACTTGTTTGCTTTTTTTTTTCTTTACCGAGAGTCTTTACCTTTTCTGTTTACTTATCTTTTCAATACCTGGTTCATATGCCACCATTTTCTTCAAACCTTTTCTCATTCTCTCTTTCAAAAATTATGTATTGTGTTCCTGAAATAGTGGTGTACCATTTATGCGTACCAAAGTTGACTTTGGTTCAAAATAGATTTATTCAGCACCTACTATATACCATACACTGCCTTAGGTGTTAATGCTACAGCTGCAAAGAAGCAAATCACCTCCCTTTGTGCAGTTCACAGTCTATCCTTCACCTAGAAGGTAAGGAAGTAAAAGGTGTCAGATGTGGTCAGTTCGTGGGGTGAGAAGAACCTTCACAAGAATTTCTGTGTCTCTTGGTGGGCTAGGTAAAAGGAACAACATATGCAAAGAACAGAGACACAAAATAGCATGATCTGTTAGGGTAATTCAGTATTGCTTCAGCATAAAAGGTAGGGGAGGGGTGGTGGAGATATTGTGAGGAGACCAGTCAGGAGACTAAAGCAGGGGATGGAGCACAAAGAGCCTTTTATACTGTGCTAAGAAGTATGCACTTTTTTCTGTGAGTAGTGCTAAGCCATTGAAGAGTTTTAAGAATAGCAGTGACATACTGTTAAAACATAAGATCACTCTGGCAGCTGTGTCGAGTAGAGTATTTAGGGGAGTGGAGTTGGCGACACAGACAAGAGAGGGGAACTTTTATAACAGTTCTTGCAGGAAATAATAAAAGCCTGAAGAGTTAGGTTGAGTATATTCTAGTTACATGGGTACATTCTAGCAATGGTTCTAAACCAAGGGTCAGCAAATTGTGGCCCATGGGCAATATCTGGCCAATCACCAGTTTTTATAAATAAAGTTTTTAAAGAACGCAACCACATCCATTCATTGATGTATTGTCTGTGGCTGCTTCCATTCTACAATGGCAGGATTGAGTATTTGCAACTGAGACTGCATGGCCCACAGAGCCTAAAATATTTACTATCTGGCCCTTTATAGACAAAGTTTGTCAACCCTTGTTCTAGACTTTACATCCTTATCTTAATCATCTCTGAATCTCCCACAGTATCTCAAACAGGTCTAAGTACTGAAAACATTGTAGGTATTTAGTAAATATTTTTTAAGTTAGTAAACTTATATAGGTATTCTGAATCAAACCCTATCTGTAAGTCATAATTTCCCTACATAATAGAAATGACTTTATTCTAGATCAAGAATGCCATACTGGAGAAAGGTACTTTAGACAGATAAGAAAAACCTTTTTAAAATACTGGAGACAGTGGGAGGAAGGTATTAGTACTACTGCATTTTTTTAAATGCCAGAAGTCTAGATAGTGTGAGAATATTGGGTACTTTACAAAGTGGATTTTCCCTTTTCTTTTTTCTCTTCCGTAAGAAATATCTTGGTAAGAAATGATGGTGACTTCAAGAAAAATTGTGTAGCCCTGGCCGGTTTGGTTCAGCGGTTAGAGCGTCAGCCTGCGGTCCACAGAGACCCGGGTTCGATTCCCGCTCAGGGCATGTACCTTGGCTGCAGTTTGTCCCCGGCTCTGGTTGGGTCGTGTGGGTGGCGGCCACTCGATGTGTCCCTTTCACATCGATGTTTCTCTCTCTTCCTCTCTCTCCTTCCCGCTCTGAGTGAAAAATGGAAAAATGTCCTCGGGTGAGGATTAAAAAAAAGAAAAAGAAAAATTGTGTAAATAGTGTGAAAATTGTTCCCTACCTTACTGATTCTTCACCTCAGACCACATCAGTGCTTCTTGATATAATCCCCAATAACTAGTTTATTGTTATCAGATTTTTCATGTGCATTAGCCACCAGTTTTTTCTCTTATTGAGCTATTTGCCATTTTAACTACAATAATCTTATCCCAAAATGTCTCTAAGCCATCATCTCGCTAAAAAAATGTGCTTTCTTTAAGCATGCATTAGGGTTACACATGAAACAATGAGAATGGTGGAAAGTTCACATATTTTATAGTCCTAAGGCTTCTTTCACTTTTTTGTTTTTGCTTTGTCAAAGGGCAATAACTACATATTACATCTTGATTTTTGCAAAAATTAAATCAAACTTTCTATGAGGAAGTGCCTGATAAACTATATATAAATGTTAGTTGTTCTTTACATTTTTGTTATTGGCTGATTTGAGAGGATACCATATACATTCTTTTCACCATCTGAGTTTCTGGTTTTTGTTGACTATTTGCATTTATCATTTTTCTAATTATAAAGCTAATAGGTTAGTTACCACTATACAGAGTATATTATCCTTCAGATTTACATGTAAGAAGTAGTGCAAATAGTGGACATTATTTCCCTCATTTTTTCCATGTGGTTGAATTATCTTTAATTTAAACTGCAGGTGATGCATATTGACTTGTGATCAACTCCTTTTGTACCAAAGAGCTTTTAATTTTTTATAATCTATGGAATATCTAATATAAGGGACTTGTAGGCACTTCAAGGAAGGGAAGGGTACATAAAACACTAACCTTACTCCCAAAAAGAAATAGTGCTGGCATTTATATCCTTTTCTGCATTTTTGGAAATCTGTATGTTGCTGCCTGGCTGGTGTGGCTCAGTGGATTGAGTGTTGTCCCATGGACTGAGAGGTCCCAGTTCAATTCCTGGGCACACATCCAGGTTGTGGGTTCGATCCTCAGTAGGGGGCGTGCAGAAGGCAGCTGATGGATGTTTCTCTCTCACATCGATGTTTCTCCCTTTCTCTCTTCCTCTCTCCCTAAAAAAAATAGATTAAAAAAATATTTTAAAAAAATAAATAAATAATAAAAATCTGTATCGTTGTCCTGGCCAATTTGGCTCAGCAGTTAGAGCATCGGCCCTCATACCAAAGGGTCTCGGATTTAATTCTTGGTCTAGGGCACATACCTGGGTTGCAGGTTCAATCCCTAGCCCCAGTTGGGGTCATGCAGGAGGCAACCGATCAATGTGTCTCACATTGATGTTTCTCTCTCTCCCTCTCCCTCCCTCCTTTTTAAAAATCAATGGAAAAAATAATTTTGGATGAGGATTAACAAAAATAGAAAATAAGAATGAATAAATAAAATGATATACCTTTAAAAAAAATCTGTATCGTTGAAAGTTTTGTTTTTGTTTTTCTATCCTCACCGAAGACATTTTTGCATGTATCTTCAGATAGAGCGGGAGGGAGAAAGGGAGGAAGAGAGAGAGAGAAACATCAACGTGAGAGAGACACATTGAGAGGTCACCACCCACATGACCCCAACCAGGGCTAGGGACAAACTGCAAGCAAGGTACGTGCCCTTAGCAGAAACTGAACTCAGGACTCTCTGGTCCACGGGCCGACACACTAACCACTGAGCCAAACTGGCCAGGGCTAGAAAGTTTTTTTTGTTTTTTTTTTTTTAAAAGGAGCATTTATTTATTTATTTATTTTTATCCTCACCGGAGGACATTTTTACATTTTTTGTTCAGACAGAGCGGGAGGGAGAGAGAGGAAGAGAGAGAGGGAGAAACATCGATGTGAAGGGACACATCGAGTGGCTGCCACCCACACGACCAACCAGGGCCGGGGACAAACTGCAGCTGAGGTACGTGCCCTTAGCGGGGACCGAACCCGGGTCTCTCTGTACCGCAGGCCGACGCTCCAACCGCTGAGCCAAACCGGCCAGGGCTAGAAAGTTTTTTAAACACTATTTTCCTAACAAGACTCCTCGTTGGCTGAACAAAAGGCATACAGTTTCAGTATTCCCATTGCTGTAGATATTCATAGCTTTACTAGTAGTGATTGATAATAAGTAATTTGAGACTTATGATTTAAGGTTGATATAGAATTTATACACAACATTCATCTGTTTGTTATGATGTGCTTTCTTTGTGTTATAAAAAGCCATTATTAGTGTTTTTTGCTTCCTTTTCAAAAGAATTAGGTTTAAACAAAGTCAGGTGGACTAAACTAAACAGGTCTTCCCTGTTAAACTGTTCTTTCAGGTTTTCTGAAACAAGTGGAAAATCCAATCATAAACACCTGATGTTCATGTCATTTGTAGTTGAACCCATGTTTTCGGTCAGCTAAAATTCATGTGACATTTGGTTGTTTTTATCTTGAAAGGAATTTCTGCTTCAGGTAGAGAAGATTCATAACTCAAATTTCTTCTCTTATCTGCTATAAGGAAATAAATCGAGGACACACACACACATGCACACACTACAACTGAATCAAAGTTCTGATTTATGCTTGCAGAACTTCCATAAAATTATTTCTTATTTTCTGTAGAATTTTGATTGATTAAGGTCATTCTACCCTTAATTTAACAGGAATGATAAGAACTTTGAAAGGTCAGATTTAAAAGGTTATGAAATTTAAGGGTGACCACTCGATATTTGCTAGTGTTGAAATACAAGTTTATTAGTTTCTGCAGGTATAAGCTGAAAGACGTTGCCTCTTCTATATTGATTAGTTGTTATAAATAAAATGCAGAGGAAAAAATCACAATAATTCAGACAAATGAGACAAGGTTTACTGAATGAGTAAAAATCCAGAATTGTAGAATTTTTAAAAATAAAAATTGGATAAAATAGTAAAGAATTAGCTAAGAGAAAACCTTAGAAAACTTGCTTTATTGAAAAGTCAGAAATAATTCACAATGTATTTATATTGGTTGTTTATAATTAGGTACCTTCTGAAATTCTTGGAGTATCTAAAAATAACTTGTTTTAAAATAACTCTACCTAATCCATCTTAATTCACTTTTAATTTATTGGGTGAGTCTCTTCTTAGTAGTAAAAAGACAAGTTGCACACCAGCTTCAGTCCTGAAATCTATCATATTTTTTGGCAAATGTTGAAAGATAGACAAGGTTTTCCCTTTATATTGCTATATGTTTCTGTCATTTCAGTTTCACTATAAGAGGAAATCAAAATATAAAACATCTTAGTAAAAACTTAGGCTATATTGGGAGAGGGTATTTAAAATGAGTCTGTAGCTTCTTTGGGATATTAATGTGATTCTGTCAGAACTCGCTTCTTCACTTTCACCTTAAAGTTTACACCTTGTAGAATTCTTTTAGATGTGTCAAAAGGTCTTAATCAGAGTTTAAAACCTTTATATAAGATTATCTGGGAAGGAAATTCTGTATCTGCCCTTAATTAAATTACACTTACACTCAATTTAAGAAAACTTCCAGCCATTTATAAAGACAAAATGAGATAATGGGTATGATGAAATGAGATAATGTATATGAGCATACTTTATCAACTGTAACGCTGAAAGAGATTTATGTATTATAAACATCATAATTCTTTCACGAACATGCTTGTTCCTGTAACATCATTTTTTTAAAACTTAGTGATGTCAAATAAATTTGATCAATATTTATCGAATACCTAATATGTGCCAATGAAAACCCTATTAATAAATTAAATGTTCTCTTTATTTAAGTAGAATATTTATTTATTTAAATGTTACTTGTTACCTGCTCTCTTTTTTAAAATATAGTAATCATACATGAATACATTCTCTTTGTAGAAGACTCAAGGATGCCAAAGTATATAGGGAAAAGTGAAACAGGCCATCTCTGTTTTCTTTATATTTACATTCATATACATATGCACTTTAAAAAAATGGAATTGGTCCTGGCCAGTTTGGCTCAGCGGTTAGAGCATCAGTCTGCGGTCTGGAGAGACCCGGGTTCGGTTCCCGCTAAGGGCATGTACCTCGGTTGCAGTTTGTCCCTGGCCCTGGTTGGGTCGTGCGGGAGGCAACCACTCGACGTGACCCTTTCACATCGATGTTTCCTTCTTTCTCTCTCCCTCCCACTCTATCTGAACAAAATATCGAAAAATGTCCTCGGGTGAGAATTAAAAAAAAAAAAAAAATGGAATTGTACTGCAGTTCATATTTTTCACTTGACAGTATGTCTTAGATAGCTTTCCATGTCAGTATATGTAAGTCTTTATTATTTTGGACAAATGCACGGTATTCTAGGCTATTACAATTTAAAATGTAGGATCCATGATGGCAGGAACTTTGGGTCTTACTGCTATGTCTCTAGTGCAGCGATTTTCAACTGGCATTCCTCAAGAATTTTTAAACATTTATTTTAATGTTCAAATATTTAGTCAGGAGCACTGACCTCTTTTTCCTTAGATTGTCAAATTAAAAAATGACAACAGCCAAAACAACAATAGCTGTCCAGCGTGAATGAATTAAAATTATAGCTGTTTTTTGGTCAGATCAGCAAAAATATATTTTTTTTGGTGTGCTGCAGAATTTTAGTAATTCGTTTGAATGCCATGAAATGAAAAAGGTTGAAAATCGCTGCTCTAGTGCCCAGAACAATGTATAATACTGTTATGAAAATGCTTGCCTGTGTCTCTCTGTGTACACATGGAAATCATTTTTTCAGGTAGATAGCCAGATGAATTTTGAAAACGTGTTTACATTGTCGTCTAGTTTCTAGTGTTGCCAGGTTCCTTTGCAGGTAACCTGTTTTTGATTCTCCAAAAGGTTCTAGGACTTTCTCTTCACCTTTGGTGTCTAATACTTCACAACACTGTCTAGACAGATGTGGGTTTGTTTTCATTTATCCTGATCAGCACTTATTGAACCTTTTAAACTGCAAAGACAGAGCTTTCTTTGGCTGTGGAAATGTTATTTTTCTTCTGTCTTTTATGGTTTTTTCTCTATAACTTTTTCTCTTTCCTTCTCAGACTCCTCTTATCTCAGTGTTTAAAATTCTTAATATATCTTCCATGCTTTTTAACCTTTCTCTCTAACTTTCTGTCATTTTGCGGGATTTGGGGCAGGGAGATAAATAAATGTGTTTTGTTTGCCATCTTTATCCAGTTTCCTGACATAATTCGTTTTATCCCATAAAGCTCACTTCTTAAAAAAATGTCTTTCGCTCTGGCCAGGTAGCTCTGTTGCAGAGTCGTCCAATGCGCCAAAGTTGTGAGTTGAATTCTGGTTGGGGCATATGCAGGAATCATCCAATGGATGCATAGATGGTTGGAACAATAGCTTAATCTCTCTCTCTCTCTCAAATGAATAAACAAATAATAATTTATAGTCTGTCATTTTATTTGTCTCAACAGTCTGTTCCTAAAGGAACATGACTCATATATTATAATAATCAATGGAAGATTGATATTGCTTAATGTACTTTTATTTTATAATCAGATTTTTTTAAGATAACTTTTTTTAAACTGTAGTACCATTTTAAATGTTAGACTCACTTGCCTGGTGTTATTGGGAGTGAGCCCAGTCACATTAAAAAATGTGTTGGTATCTCAATCACTCATCAGGTCCAGGCAGCTCCAAGTGCTGATAAAGGCCTTGATGCTTCTCCAGATGTCTGTTCTAAGTGTCAGCTCCAGGTGCAGTAAGCAGAATCTTTGGAGCTGGCACACAGATTCTTAAGCACAAAGTATGAGTACAAATCAAAGTTGTAGGTCCATGGTCTCTCAGAATAATGGTTTACAAACCTGGTTGAACATCAGATTACCTGTGGCACTTTATAAAAATATAAATGCCTGGCCCGGCCAGTGTGTCTCAGTGAAGTGAATATCGTTCCCTGGACTGAAAGGTCAGTTCAATTCCTGGTCAGGGCACATGCCCGGGTTGCTGGCTTGATCCCCAGTTGGGGGGACATACAGAAGGCAGCCAATTGATGTTTCTCTCTCACATCGATGTTTCTATTTCTCCCTTCCTCTCTCTAAAAAAAATTAATAATTATATACACACACACATATGTATATATATACACACACACACATGTATGTATATAAATAAATGCCTGGACCCTCTTAAATCAAAATCCTGAAGGGGGTGGGGCTGGGTATCTGTGTATCTGTAAAGGCTTTAGAGGTTATTCTGATAAAAAGGATGATAGCCACTGTTCTTAGAGACCCTCTGTGTGTATTTTCTTCTCCTCATGCCTCATTTAGAAAGAAATGGCTAGCCAGTGTTCTTTGGTACAGATGTATCATAATTGACTTAACCGGTACCCGCTTGGTGGATATTTCGTTTGCTTCTGGTCTTCTGCTATTACAAATCACTGTAGTAAATGTCCTGGTAATATAACTTTGTACACATTTATTAATATATTTATGGGATAGGTTCCTAGAAGTGCAATTGTTTAGGCAAAGGTATATGTTTGTGAATTTGAGAGAGATGTTATTTGTCTGTGAAAATATGTTTTTAAAAATCCTCAGGTGTTAAATTCTTAGTTGGAAAATATTCTTAAATCTTAAAAGTCCTTACATTTTGTTTTCATTTCCAACTAGGCCAGCACTAAAGTCGAAGTGGACATGGAAAAAGCAGAAAGCCTGCAGGTGACAAGGGGAGATTTCCTTGCTTCTTTGGAGAATGATATTAAACCGGTAAGTATGAATATTGAGTGATGTATAAGCCAAAAAATAATAATTCAGGAGAAAAATAACTACCATTTTACCCAGTATTATGGAAAGTTATATCATTAGAAGTTTTTAAACATCAGAAAAATCTCAGTATTGGAACGATAACTGATGGCTGGGTAATAAGCCAATACTTACTGAAATATTTCTCATGCTAGGGAGTTCACCATCTTATAAGGCAGACCATCCCATTTTGAGACGATTAGTTGTTATTTTATATTGAACTAGAATTAGTTTTCTCATTGGTTCTTATACAATCTGAAGCTACTGAAACCAAAATTCACCCTAATTCATTCATTCTCCATATGTTAGTTATATATCATATTTAAAATTAACTCTCGCCCGGCTGGTGTGGCTCACTGTTGAGCCATCGACCCATGCACCAGGAGATTGCTAGCTCTATTCCCAGTCAGGGTACACACCCAGGTTGTGGGCCTGATCTCCAGTTGGAGGTGTGCAGGGGGTGGCCAGTGGATGTTCTCTTTCATCAATGTTTCTATCTCTCTCTCCCTTCCTCTCTCTCTAAAAATCAATAAAGAAAAAAATAAAAATAAAAAATAATAAAATTAACTCTCTTATTCTCTTCTATCTTTCTCTAACTTCCTTCAAGGCATGCCTTTTTCTTGCTTAATACCTTTAGGACCTTTAACTGCTATAGTTTCTAAGGACTCTAAAACCATTCTAAGTGCCCTTTTAAAAAAAGGTGTCAGTGTTTTAAAAATACACTAAAACTCAATAGTCATAGTTGGAGTTTTAGAATATAGTATAAGGACATAAAAAAAAACCATTTTTCTATAAAATAACACTAATGTTTGTTTACTCTTGCTGGAGTAACCATTGCTTAGAGTCCTATATTAATACAAAAACGAAGTGCAGAAAGGCCTCTTAAAGAGGTGTGTATGTTTGGTTTGTTTTTTTTTAAATGGACCTCAGGTGCACAGAATTGGATTAATCTTAATATTCAGTTTGTGACACAGTGTTGTTATTAGTCTATTTGGTGTGTAAAATAAAGTACGGTGCATGTAATTTTTGGGGACTTGCTATTTATTACATATTTTATTACCAAGAATCATCCACATGATTCTCTCTAGCTATACATCATTCTCATTCCTGAATAGCATTGCATTGTGTGACTACCACAATTTATCTATTTGGGACATTATCAGTTTTTTATATTACAAATAAATTCTACTGTAAGCATTCTTCAACAAACTTCTCTTAGATGTATATTGAGGAATAAAATTGCTGGTTTGTTGGGTATGTGAATGTCCAACTTTAAACTGAAGAATTTCAAACTTTTCCTGGTGGTTGAAGGAATAAGCACTTTCCCCAATAATGTAAAAGAGATCCTGTTACTCTGCATCATCTACAACACTTGGTATTGTCAGACTTAATTTTTGCCATTCTCTTGGATATGAGATGGGATCTCATTTTGGTCTTAATTTGTATTTCACTGATTACTTACGAAGGTTAAGTATTTCTTCATGTGTTCACTGGCCATATAAACACATGAAGTATCTTTTGTGAGATGCTATTCATGTCTTTGCCTATTTTTGTTGTTGTATTGTTTATTTTTATTTGATCTGTATAAGTTCTTTATATATTCTTGGCAATAATTGTTTGTTGTAAGTATCCCCTTAAAGATAAAAATCAACATGTTGTAGCCCTGTCTACATTTTTTTAATTACTGTTGTGATTTAATATGAGTAAATAATGTGAGTAAGTAATGTGAGTAAATATAAACTATTTTCAAAAGTTATTGAGCAATGGAAACGGTTAATCTTTTGCTGTTGTCATTTGTAATAGTTACGAAAAATATTAGAGTTCAACATAACTGATCTATTTCAAGATTCTTTTAATGACAAATAATTTGGCCACAAGAAAGGAGAAACTAATATAACTAAGTTAAGTGACAGGATAAGTAAGGAAGACTGATACATATTGTGTAGCTTGGGAGGGTCCCCGTTTCCTGGTTCAGATATCTTAAAGCTGCTGCTATGAGACCTAGAATGTATACTTGGAATAATTAAAGACAAAAGTCAGTCAATCTACATATTTCCTACAGCAGTATTTATTAGGCTCTTCCTTTATAACCTTTACAGGGCCACTGAACGCACCAAATCCAGACCAGGGAATGAGGACTTTCCTTTGTACTCAGGAATCAAAGGACTAGTGTATGCAAGGACCAAAGAGAGGTCTGAGAAATGATTTGGTGACAAAGCAATAGAGTAATGAGACCATTGCATACTGTTTAGAGACTCTATTACAGAGAATGACATTCTGTGAGGTGCGAGTTCTAAAGAAGAGTTGAAATTATTTCATACATCAGGGTAGTGAAAAATTAAATAGTTGAAGGATGTAATAACTTTTATAATTTGAAATTCTCAAGACATATGACCTTTATCTTACATTGGGTTGTTTTTCTACCCATTTCTTTTCCTGTTAACCTTATGAAAATTCAATTAAATTAAGTAACTAAGTACTAAGATTATTGACTACTTTTGGCAGCTGGTTTGATGGGAGTTCCAGTATGAGATTAGAAGTTGAAAATGAAGTTTGAAGGATGTGACTGAACTCCAATATGTAGTGAGCACAATTAAAATTATTACTTATAGTAACTGCTTTTATTTTATTTTCCTGATCCTTCGATCTTTCATTATAACTGCTCATTTCTACCTCATTTAAAACCTTATATTAACACACATATACTTACCTTCATGTCTTCCCACCAAGCTGATGTGGACAGGATCTTCTCATCACTATTTTACATTCCCATTTTAATCCATGATACGTACCGTCAGAGTTAGTATAGTGTCTTTGTCTGCTGAGCCAACTGTTCTAATTTATAAGTCCATAATCTTTTTTTTCTTTGTTCTTAACAGAAGGCAACAACCTATGTACTCCTTACAGAAATAAGCACATTGGGACATACCCTTTCTCAGGGATTATGACAGCTTGGGCTCTGGTAGAATCTGAGCCTAGAATTTATTCTTTTTTTGTTAAGTCAACCAAAGCAGTTCTCCCCATCCCCAATTTGGTAAAAAGTGAAATTCGCCCTAGCTGGTGTTTCTCAGTGCTTAGAATGATGGCCATGCACTGAAGGGTCACAGGTTCGATTCCCGGTCAAGGGAACATACCTGGGTTACAGGTTCCATCCTTGGCCCTGGTTGGGGCGCATACAGAAGGCAACCAATCGATGTGTTTCTCCCCCTATCCCACTCTCTCTAAAAAGCAGTGGGGAAAACATCCTCGGCTGAGAACTAACAACAACAACAACAAAAAAGTGAAATGCAAAATTATAAAAGTGGATTTTTAGTTTTGTTCTCTTTTGTGTTGTTTTGCTTTTCAGGCTTTTTACATTAATATGAATATTGTTCAACACTTTTATTGTGTAGGAATTCTTACTCATCTTTTATACCTTTAAATATTTTGATTTTTAATACTAATGCTTAAAATGTTTTAAACTGTCCTTTTCTTTCATAGGCATTTGGCACAAACCAAGAGGATTATGCAAGTTACATTATGAATGGTATCATCAAATGGGGTGACCCAGTTACTCGAGTTCTAGAAGATGGAGAGCTGCTGGTCCAGCAGGCCAAAAACAGTGACCGCACACCATTGGTTAGCGTCCTTTTAGAAGGTAAGAAGAAAAGATGAGGTGGCATTAAAAGTTTACAAAAGAAGAAAAAGTGGCACTTTTACAAAACCATTTAGCACATTCCAGAAAAATGGATTATTTTCATTTCTAAAACTTTTCGTCATCTGAAAATAGTAATCCAGTATATGTGTACCATTATTATGCACAGGCTTGTTAAGTTCTATTGGGGATAGAATGTTACTGATGAGTGACAGCAACTAGTTTTCTTGTAGGATTGTATCTAAATTTCTGTGTTACTTAATAGAATGTAATACCACATAGTACTCAATTCAGTTTAGTATTCACTGAGTACTTTCCTAGTTGCTGGGGATACAAAGACATTCACAGAGTTCAGTTTGGTCATGAAAAAGGATATGTAAACAAAGTCCTAACTACAATATATATGTATGAAAATATGTGTGAATGCAAGTCATTTTGCCCATCAGTGCTCAAGGTAATTTAATTTAGTGTTTAATTTAGGTAGTATTTAGAGGTGGTATTTAATTTAGACTTTGAAGGATCAGTTAGGATTTTCCCGAGCAGACAAAGAGAGAAGGACAATCTATTCACCAATTATTTATTTACAGTTATGATTAGTACAACAGAACAGTTCAGTGAGTTCACATAACAAAGGAATCTAACCCTTTCCAAACGTCTGGGGGTAGGCTCACTGAGAGGAACACATGAAGCCAAGACCTGAAGGATGAGGAGACGGTGGCCAGGCAGAATAAAGTAATCAGGGAAGATGTTCTATGTAGAGAGGCCAGCATATGAAAAGCTCTGTTCAGGAAGGAGATTGAAGCAGAAAGGGACATTGGCTAAACATGAGACTGAAGAAGTAGACAGAAACCAGTTCATACAAAGCCTGTAGACAAATTAATGTTTTGAACTCTGACTGAGGGGCAATGGAAAGCCATTTGTAGGGTTTTAAGCAGTGAAGTGACATAATCAGATTTGTAGTTTCAAAACATCACGGCTGTTTTGTGATTGAGAATGGATTGGAAGGGGGAAAAAAAGATAAAGGAGAGACCGATGGTTAGAATCAATTGCATTAGTCTTATTGAGATCTGATTGTAGTTTGAAGTAACAGTGGTAGTGGAGATGGAGAAAAATTTTTAAAGAAAAAGGAGAATTATCAATTGTATCAAATATTCTTAAGAGACCAACAGATAATGTGTCTGTTAGGTTTGATGACTTGGAGGCTATTGATGATCCTGATGGGAGCCTGTTCCATGTGATGGGAATGGAAGGATTTGTTTGAGAATGGATGGAAGATGAAGAGTGAAGGCAGCCAGAGTAGATAATTATTTAGAGAAGTTCCGTTTTGAATGGAGAAGAAAGAGTAGTGTTGAGGCATGTGAAGAGGAAGAGATGGAACATGTGGGGGAGAGGGTACTACCAATAATATCAGGTTTCTGAGAAGATAAGAAGGAAGACTTGGTTGATTTTCCCTTTTGTGTAACGTCTTCCATTACACAGAAGGGAAAAAAGAGGAGATGTCTAAATACAGGTAAGTTTGTACATTTGGTTGTTTTTATGAAAAGGCCTGACTCTTTAGAATTGCAGCTTTTTTTTTTTTACTCTCCATAAATTTTATTCAGTTCTGTTGCTTTCACATTTCATTAATAATTGGTAACTTTTTAAAGCGTTTCATTTCAATTTTCCCTAGATACAGGGCAATATATTTGTGATCCTGAGACAATTTTTTAAAATTAATTAATTTATTTTTGTTGCAGATGTTTCTCCTTTTTCCCCCACTGATCCCCCCCTCCCCATCCCTCCTCGCCCTGTCTTCAGCTTTGTTGTCCAGGTCCGTTGTTCATGCACACATGCATATAAGTTCTGTGGTTTATCTCCTCCCCACCACCCCCTCTCCTGGGGATTGCAGCTTTTTAAGTCACATTTGCTTCTAATGCAGTTTTGCCTGCCCCCACTATCATCTCCTAAAATTGTATTTCTTTGTTAGATAAAATGATTTGATAGAACTAAACATAAATACTAATATGCATTTGAAAGCACTCTTTTTTTAAGAAGCAAAAATCTTATATTTTATATGGTTAGCCAGAAGTTTGAAAGATTAAGGCTATGTGAGAAAGAAAGAAGGAATGCATTTCATCATACTTTTGAGAAATGCTAATCAGTTTATTAAATTTAGTTGCTAACAAATAAGAGAAAACATGTCTGCCATGAAATTGTGTCAGGATATGTTAATGAGCAACTAGTTGAGACCTCAGTACCTTGTGGATAAAAGTTTAAACTTGTTTTATTCCCCTTTGCTTAGGTTGGCTTTTTTCCCCTGACTTGCTCATATCTTTATGCAGGCCCTCCTCACAGTGGAAAGACTGCGTTAGCTGCAAAGATCGCAGAGGAGTCCAACTTCCCCTTCATCAAGATCTGTTCTCCTGATAAGATGATTGGCTTTTCTGAGACAGCCAAGTGTCAGGCCATGAAGAAGGTATCAAGATTTTTACTTTCGTTTTAATTTCATATCTCTTAGATGTGTGTGTATACACACGTACATATATATCTATCTTTGTACATGTGTGTGTTTGTGTGTGTATATGTGCCATAGCAACTGTGTTCTTTTCAAGTGGAACTAAAGTATCAGCAGAATTTGGGAAGAAACAGCAACTATTTTAGATATGTTTAACTTTGTAATGCATTTTTATTACTTTTATCTCTAAATTATGCTTTGTTTTATACATATTACAATTAATTTTTATTTATTAAGTTTGTATTGACTTGATTGAAAGAAGGATTCTAGTTAAGAGTGTTTGAGTAGAGTGGACCAAATTTATTTAGATTTTTAAAAAGTTTTCATCAGTGTACAAAGTCAAACTGTTTGAAGTAAATTAAGTTGACTCTATACAGAAGCAGATCATTGGAAAGATACTTTCAAAAGCCCCTACGAAAGGATGGTGGTATATTAGATAATCGGAGTCTTCTTGGCAACTTAATGCAGTCCTCATCCTTCTTCCTTTCCCCAAGTGCCATTTGTCACCTTCTCAGTATGTCTGCTTTGAGCCATCAGTGAGTTAGAACAACATAGAATAGGCTCCTAGAGCTTAAAGGACTCTTAAGACCATCTGGTCCATCTCTCATACATTCAGGCAAGTGCCATGTAAGGCATCTGGGATAGTAGGTGGCTGCTCTTTAAAAAACAACAAAAATCAATGATGAAAACTCCTAATGACTATTTTATCTCACTTGGTAGCCAGTGTTTCCATTGATATTCTGATTTTGCATATACTCAGACAGTGAAGAAATTTTATTTTGTATGTAGTTGAAATATTTCTTTACTTAAATCCTCATTTTCATGCTTAATCTTTTATAGACAGGAACTGACTCTAAGTTAAAGAGATGTGGGAAAATCAGAATCAGGGAAGGTAATCCTGAGAATTGAAGTGCTACCTAACGAAGACAGCTCAGGTGTTCTTTTACTGTTTTCAGAGTCATTCACTTTATAGAGATGTAGGAAACAATTACTTCAGTTTATCTTTAGGGAAGAGACTGAAGAGGAAATAGTATTTAAGAAAAAGCAGACTCCAAAAAAATATATTTGAAAAGTTAGTCTCTTGTTTGTGCAGGTGGCAGAAAATTATTTGTGTTGGGTGCTTGAAATGGATGGAGGAGGCGGAGCTTGGAGCAGGATTCCAGTCCTGCACAATGAAATGTGGAGATAAATATTCTATTTAAGGATCCCTAGCCAGATCACTCAGTTAGAGCATCATCTCGATATTCCAAGGTTTCAGGTTCGACCTCTGGTCAGAGCACATACAAGAAGCAACCAATGCCCTGGCCATTTGGCTCAGCAGTTAGAGCATCAGCCTGTGGACTGAAGGGTTGCAGGTTCAATTCCAGTCAAGAGCATGTACCTGGGTTGCAGGTTCGATCCCTAACCCCAGTCGGGATTGTGCGAGAGGCAACCAATTAATGTGCCTCTCTCACATCAATGTTTGTCTCTCTCTCTCTCTCTCTCTCTTTGCCTACCACTCTGTCTAGAAATCAATGGAAAAATATCCTTGGGTGAGGCTTAACAAAAAAAAAAAAAAGAAGAAGCAGCAGCAGCAACCAATGAGTGTGTAACAAAGTGGAACAACAAATCCATGTTTCTCTCTCTCTCTCTCGCTGTCTTTCTCCCTTTCTCCCCATTCCTCTCTCCAAAATCAATAAGTTTTTTAAACATTCTGTATAAAGGTCTTTGAAATTGAGTATGAAAGCGATGGAAATATTTCCAGACACACACACAAAATACTTAAATATCATAGTCAGTTTATTCTGTGTCTGAGGTGAAACCCAGGAGTATCTGTTTTTCTCAAGAAAATCAGAACAGAATCATGAGGACCAGTAATTTCCTTGATATAGGTAGGGGTTAGTTTTCTTTGCTTTTCCCCTCTAAAGGAAACCCTTAAGCCGCCACTTCCTCTGGTGAAAATTTAAATAATAGCCCTTGGAACTTGTGGCCATTGAATTTACCTTTTGATTGAACAGCTAATTCTATTAGAATGTCCCTTACTCCATCTGTTTCTTATATTTGTCAAAAGTAGTCATCTTCTGCCCTTGTTAGTGCGGCTCAGTTGGTTGGGCATCATCCTGTGCACCAAAAGGTTGCTGGTTTGATTCCGTGTCAAGGTGCATGCCCAGGTTGCTGGCTCTATCCCCAGTGGAGGGTATGCAGGAGGCACCCGATCTGTGTTTCAGTCTCACATTGATGTTTCTCTCCCTCTTCCTTCTCTCTCCATAAATCAATAAAAAAAAATTTTTTTTTTTAAAAGTAGTCATCTTCTGTGCAGATGGTAAATTACTCCATTGCTTTTCACCAGCTGCCAGCATCTGCCTCAGATGTACTCCAAGATGTGGGTGGATGGTCCTAGTTTTTCTATAAAAGTTTTTAAAAAGTACTTTAGGCTCCTGCAGATCAAAGCTACTTTGTAAGTGTGAGATATTATCATTTTTATTATTTTAATCTCTTGCAAATTGACTTAAGGGGGGAAGGTAATATATGCTGATTTTAGAGGCTTAAATGGTTAAATTAATGGCTTAATAACTTATCATTTAATCTTTAAATTGTTGAAGCCTTTCAAAGCAGAGTTTTAAATGAGTAGAAGGCTAAGGAATATGAAAATAAGTGTCTATACAAGCTTATTCAAAATTGTTTCAATTCATGATTCACTGTCTGGATCATCCATGCACCCTTAAAGTTACAAAAATGATTTCTGTTTCAGCAGTAGAATAAATACATATTCAACTTTAAGGTTTTCCTTGGGGGGAAAATATTATTTCCTGAAACTAAAGTACAGAACAGAGAAAGAATGAAGCATGGGTGTCTTAGAACTATATTAGAAATATTGCAGAATCTTTCCCTGCAAATAATTTTCACATTGTTGCCTAATGATAGGTTGACAGAAGCCTAAGGGCTCAAACCAGTCTAAAGGTGCTAAGTCTTCCAGGTTGCTTCTGCAGATGAAATATAAATGCCATTCTTTAGTAGTTCTAGTCTGCCGCCCACCACAGTTGTCTTCCCTTCATTTGTAGTGTGAGAATGGGAAGATGTTTTTGTTTTTTTCTTCAGAGCACATATAATTTATAATTTTTTTATCATTCTGGAGAAGTCAGTTCTTTCTTTGTAAGTGTCCCCCCTCTTCCACCCCCAACTGGAGCTTTTTCTAATTTAGAAAATGTGGGGAAGAGCATAGGAGAAAATGAAAACAAGTCCATGTTTGTCCTTCAGTTTTCTTCTCTGCTCAGACACACTTACACACACACATTATGTATTGGGGATCACACTGGATATACTGTTTTTTGTTTTTGTTTTTTTCTTTATTGATTTGAGAGAGAGAGGAAGGGAGAAGGAGACAGAAATAGAAACATCAATGAGAGAGAATATCGATTGGCCACCTCCTGCATGCCCCCCACTTGGGCATGTGCCCTGATCAGGAATCAAACCGGCGACCTCTTGGTGCATAGGTTGATGCTCAACCACTGAGCCACACTGGTCGGGCTGGACATACCGTTTTAACCCTGCTGGTTTCACTTAATATGTTATGAACTTTTTTCTTTATTTTTTTTCTCATCTGGGTTTTATTTAGTTTTTAGTTTTTTCTCTTTTCCTCAAGTCTTTCCAACTGCCCAACATCCGATTGTAAACTTTTTTCAATGTCATTAAAATTTATCTTACTATTATGTTAAATTGATAGCTATATAATATTCATTTAAACATTTCCTTTTAACTGAACCTTTAGGTTGTTTCCAGGTTTTTTTCCACAATTAAAAATTATTTTCTGTAGAATTACCAAACTAGGGAGATTAGTGCCCCCATTTTTTTTTTATTAGGTTTCTCTTGCAATAGCATTATATTTTACTGGCTGAAAACACGGGCTGAAGTTTCAAATACATATGAATTTAAATCCCGGCACCACCACATTTACCAGCTCTTGACTATAAGCCTCTGTTTTCTCATTTGTAAAATTAATATAATAATAATAATAGCTGCCTCATAGGGTTATTATGAGAATTATATGAAATGGTAATTTATGTAAAGTATCACACAGTGCCTTGGGATATAATATGTGCTTAATAAAGTGTAGTGGTTATTTTCTTTTTTTTTTTTTTTTTATCCTCACCCGAGGATATTTTTCCATTTTTTGTACAGATAGAGTGGGAGGGAGAGAGAGAGAGAAACATCAACGTGAAGGGACACATTGAGTGGCTGCCACCCGCACGACCAACCAGGGCCGGGGACAAACTGCAACCGAAGTACGTGCCCTTAGCGGGAACCGAACCTGGGTCTCTCCGGACCGCAGGCCGACACTCTAACCGCTGAGCCAAACTGGCCAGGGCTGTAGTGGTTATTTTCATTTATCATTATTATTATACATACAGCTTTGGTTATTTCCTTAGGATAAATTCTCAGAATCGGGATTGCAAAAGGTAAAAATATGAATAATTTAAAGATTTTTGATAATATTGCTATCAAAACTCTTATGTCAAAATACTAGTAATTTATAGGAGCCCACCTCTTTTGAAAGTTGAACCGATTTATACTAGTGGCCCCATTACATAAGAGTGTCAGCTTTTTTGAACTCTTAACCACACTTGATGTTATGAAAATATTTTTGCTAATTTCATAAGTAAAAGATTGACATTTAAGAATTTCTTCAGCTGTATTTTCATGACTAAATGTTCAATTTTAAAGATTTTTTCAAATGTTTTGTAATGGCAATAGTTTGTGAAACTCAGAAATATTATAACATTAATTTTTGTTAAAGAGGGGTGGTCTAAATAGTTAATTCATAGGATATCTTAATATACCATTTTAATACTTAAACTAAGAGATTAGAGTTTTTGTCAGTAGTGAGGGCCATTAGATTTGCTTTAACAAGTATCTAAGACTTCTCTGTAATTAAGTTATTTTTTTTTCATATATGGGTGGTATTAAAATGTATGAATGTAGTT